ACAGACAGCTGTGTCAGTGCCACAGCTAACTGATCATGCCCCCTGACATCCCAAACAGGCTGAATATTTTGCACACATGAGAGTCCATCTGGGGAGGGCTTCCAAACCCTCATCAGGTTCTGAGCAAGACCCTCAGCTTGGGAACATTCTGAACCTGATGCCCATGTGGAGGAGAGGCCAGTGGTTCATCTACCAGAGCTCCCCAGCACACTGGAGGCAAATCCACAGTGTCCTGGCTTCCAGCTGTGATCCTTGGGACAGCGATGGCCTCAACACCTCTATGTAACATCCTCAGACCTCCAGCATTTCTGGCCTGGGCTCAGCATCCCAGAGGCCTATATTCTGTCTGTTCTGGGTAATTCTCAGTATCCTGGCACCCATCATGGCTCTGCCTAATGCCACATTTCCACCAAGTGGCCTGTCTACCCTCCACCAAACCATCTGTGTAGCTATGGTTGGTGAACATGTGCATCTTCCCCATTATCACCCCAGCCTGAAGGTCCAGGTTGTCCCTTCTCCTGTCTCCAGATTCTCTAGAGGTGGAAGGATTTCTACCCTGGGTGTTCAAATGTACATCTTGCTGTCCTTGACTTTGTCCTTAGGTCTGAAGGTTTATCACTCCACTATCACACCCAGAGGAACTGTCTCCTTCCCTTGTGTGGTTGTGTGGGCTTGAGTAGGTATGCACACATGTATGAGCCCACAAATGCATGTTATGAACAGCTAAGCATACAGGTGTCTCACAGTGCATGCCAGCCTGGAGCCTGCCTGCTGGAAACACCTCTGGCCCTGTTCCTCGTGCTTTCCGCAGCCCCTGGCTTGTACCCCAGCATGGAAAGGACCATAAAATTGTTCAACCCTATAGCAACCTTGTTCTGAGCATGTCCTTCAGTGTTGACTAGCCTCTGCCAAAATGGAGATGATAATTATCCAGATTACTCAGCCAGCAAATATTTATAAAATGCCCCTACATGCCAGGCACGACATGGGCTCTGGACAGCTGTGTCCATGACAGGTCCCTGCCCTGACTGGGCTCACATCCTAGTGTCAGGGAGGTGGTCAGGAAATAGACATACAGGCAGTTTGGGAAGTTGCAGAGATGGCTGTCAGTCAAGTGCTTGGTGAGCAAGGCTGAGGACTCCAGCTTGGATCCCCAGCATTGATATAAAAAACTGTGTGTAGCTTGTCAGTCATGTCACACACCTTTAATCATAGCACTTGGGAGGCAGAGGCAGGCAGATCTCTGATAGTCAGGTCCACACAGAGAAACCCTGTCTCAAAAAAACCCAAACAAAAACCATACAACAATAAACCAAAAATACCCCCCCAGAATTAGGTGCAGTGGTACGTTCCAGGACCCCCAGTGCTGGGGAGGCAGAGACTGGAAGATCGATGGGCTCGATGGTCAGCTAGTCCTGCCGAACTGGTGAGCTCCAGGTTTAGTGAGAGACCCTGCCTCAAAAAATAAGATGGAGAGCAATTGAGGAAGACACCCATGATGACCTCTGGCTTCCACACACACATGCACACACATGCACATACATGTTCACTCACACATAGACCAAAAAACTTAAGTAAAAAGAAGGAGAGTTTCCATTTTCCTTGGCACGCTAAAGCTCAGAGGAGTGTGACTGGGTGGTCAGACAGGGTTGGGTGAGTGGAAGAGCTTTGGAGTTGAGCCTTGAGTGACAGGAAATGCAGTCACTGAATGACCCAGGGAAGCAACATTCTAGGTCAAGGGTACAACCAGTGCGAAGGCCCTGAGGTGGGAATGAGCTTGGGGAGCAGAAAGAGGCCAGTGTGGCTGGGGAGGAGACAGCAGAGTGAATGTGCTCAGGCAGGCCTTTTTAGGCCATGCTGGGGAGCCTGGATTTTCATTTAAGGGAGATAGGAATTGCTGGAGGGTCAGGAAGGAGGGAGACACGTGGTGTTATTTATTTTTACAGTGTCCTCAGCTGCCATCAGGGAAATGGGGAAGGGGACAGGGTTATCTGAGGAGCGGCTAAGATCCAGAAAGTGTGGCTCTCCAGTCCCTCCTGGCCCAGCTGGTATCTGCTGTCATTATGGTCTCCATCTTAGCTGGTGCTCAAAGGAGGCCACTGAGCCCAAGGTCATCCTGAGGGCTGGGGGCAGCGAAAGGCTTCTGGAAAGGATCAGGCTGAGAGGCATGCCACAGGGGGTCTTGAGTGCTGCCAGCTCCCTGAGACAGATGCTCAGTGGCCCAGCTCCACTCCTCTGCCCTGGCCAGCAGGGCTGGAGGCAGGAAGAGCCACTGCTTTGGGCTGGCTCTCTTGGTTGAGGTTTTGGGGCCTTGGTTTCATGGGCATGTGTAGCCTGCCTGCATCTCTAGTCTTTCTAGCTGCAGAGAGAGACGCCTCTGATCTCGAGCAGTGGGGTTCCAGACAAAGCCTTTCCCCATGTGTGCCTCAGTCTCTCTTGACTGGAGAGTGGAGCTCAGCTGCTGCTCACCCTGAGATGTTTGCTGCTCCTTGGATAACCAGCCCCACAGCATCCATGACGTTAGTGCCACCTACCCGCTCTGGCTTCACACAGGCAAGAGAGGCAGGAGTGAGTCCCTGGTCACATCATGGTTCAGAGTGAGGACCTGGGACATCATTTCACACCTTTTGCCTCAAAACATGCCCTCTTTGTATCCCTCTCGAGGTACGCAACTACTCTGGGCTCTATTGGCCCTCGGCCCAGGCAAGGATTTTGGGCCCCTCGCCTAGAGTGGAGCTCAATGCTGCCCCTTGTCTGTCCAGCCCTGGCACTGAGGGCAAGGGCCAGTGCCCAGTACTGGCAGAAACTCCATCCTACTCAAAGGTTCAAGGGGACATGGCAAGGCAGGTAGGTCTGGGGTAGCCTGAATCAGTTTCTAGAACTTAGAAAGTGCTAAAGAGGTCACACAAGAAATCACACAAGAAGCAGCCCTTGATTTGTCTGTAGTCCTAGCTTTGGTCTTCTGAGGCTTGGACATCAGGTGGGACCACTCACACTCTCAAGTGGCTTCATGGAAATCAGGCAGGACCTAAACTAGAGGGTCTCCCCACCCTGCCGCACCCCACCCTGTGCCTGGGCGCAGGGGCTCGGGACAACTGGCAGGGTAGGGGCGCAAACCCAGAGCCGATGCCCTGCTGCCCCAGGTGGGTAGAGGACCCAAGGCAGCAGGCTGCAAGCCCTCACGCCTTGTCTCCCTTCCTATGTCCCTCTGGAGTCGCAGCCGAGGACACGACCGCCTCCCCTCCTCTGTGTGCCACTGGAGGGAACAAATGGAAATAGCAACGGCGGCGGCAGGGATGTAGGACACGCCAGAAGGACTTCCTTACTCAGCACTAAGCCCCGAGGGTCCCTGGTGTCCTAGCACCATGGCCAGACAGCTTAGAGCTTCGATTGAAGATATTTTAATCTTTGGGCTTTGTGTGTGTGTGTGTGTGAAACCTGTAGTTGTCAGAATTATAAGTAGTCTATATAAAGAGACCCTGTCTCAACAACAACAACAACACAAAACGCCCAAACTGTAGGTGGTGACAATGTTGGGCTGAGGCAACAGATCTCTCTCTCTCTCTGTTTTTACTCAGTAGCATTTGAAAATCGGTCCATAGTAGCAGAGCTCCCCTCAGAGGCACAGGAGATCCCAGAGAGTGGAACTCACTTTCCTCTCTGGACTCACAAAGGAGCAAAGTCTTCCTGGAATTGACCTGTTTCCTGCAGGCCTGAGCTGGTGGCCTGAGGCAGGCCTGGAGGGCCGAGCCCCCAGGCGAGACTCAGCAGTAGGCAGATGCAGGGTTCACATCCTTTTCTCCACATTGCAGCTTCTTCTGCTGTAGCCAGAAAGCTGGCCTCTCCTTTTCCCCCTCCAGTCTCTCCTGAACCGGGATAGGCCTCTCCAGAAGAAAGCTGGGTGTTGGGGCCCACAGAGTGGAGCAAGGAAGAAACCCAAACCAGAGACAGAGGGAAGGTCCAGGCATCCGCCTCTACAGCTTTCCAGGGTGCTGGAGCAACCGGCTTGTGTCTTTGGCTGAGGTCACTTGGAAGGGTAGCCTAGACTTCAGGGGGCAGAGAGGACAGAATGGGCTGGTACGTGGCTTCTGCATTCCTAGTTAGGATGACATTGGGCAGGAAGACTCTGGAGGTTGGGCAGAGCAGGGTGTGGCTCTCCTGGTTCTACTTTCCCCAGAGAGCTTTTCAGAGGTTTTCTTAAGTTCTTCCTTATGACTTGGTGGACTCCCGTGGGGGTCCTCATGAAGAAGGGAGCCCTGGGCCTCTTCCTTTCGTGGGCATCGCCAGATGCTGGTGCTGCCCGGGCAGCCTTGCCTCAGTGCAGCCCTGCACCCGCCCAGCACCCTGGACAGCGGCGCACGGTGGGCCCCCAGTGGCGGATGGCTGTCTCCAGGCTCTGCTCTGGCCCCGCTGGAACGCTCTCTGCCAGCATCAAGCTACGCTGCTGTTCCTTTCTGTGACTTATCTCTTAGTGCCCCTTTAAAGGCAACTCCTGGGTCAATTTCCTCCACTAGTTACAAATTCGGGTTCCTGCAGCCAGGGCTGAGAACATGTGGAGAGCTGCACATGGCTGGCCAAGATCAGCCTGGAGTTTTGTCTCCTTTAATAGCAGTAATAGAGGGGCCTTCAAGAGCTGCTGGACACTCGCCTAGTTCCTCACTACCTGGGTCTTCCTTAAGGGACTTTGGTGGATTCTGAAGGACACAGCAGAGACCCTAAAAAGTAATAGAGAAGTCAGGGGCCAGGGTACAAGGTCCCAACCATGGGCCAGAGGAGAGCTATGATGCGTGCGTGCGTGCGTGCGTGCGTGCGTGTGCGTGTGTGTGTGCGCACGAGTGTGTGGCATGTCCATTGAAGTGGGGATGTTGTAACCTGAGCTCATTCCCCATCTTAAAGCTACTAAGGAGATCACCATGGCCAGCCCCTATGCCTGGGGCTGCTCCAGCACTGGGTTCACAGGGCTTTGGACACTCTGACTTCTGCCCTGTCTGTCTTTTTCTCTCTCCCATCTTTTGTCAGGTTTTTTTTTTGGAGCCCTAGGGCTGGCTGGGTCAGGAAGCAGTGACTGTCATGGATGAAGAAAAGCTCCCATGTGAACTGCGTGAGGATGGAGGTGCTATCCAGGACCACAGCCTGGAACCTGAAGGGGAGCCTGGGGTCCAGAATGGAGTGCAAACCAGCGAAGGCCCAGACAGCCACATCAGCACCCCAGGTGGTGAGAAGAGAGGCAACTTAGATGGCGCCATGGAGCCTCTGGGAGATCCAGATGTGGCCCTGCCTGGCCTCAGCTTCTCTCTCACCAATGGCCTGGCCTTGGGACAAGATGGGAACATTCTGGACGATTCTATGGAATCCAGGCCCTGGAGGGCTAGTGAAGCAGCACAGGAGGAGGATGTCTCTAGGAGTCTCTGTCCAGATGCTGGAGGGTGAGTGGGTGTCTGGGCCGTGCACTCATACTGCTAACTCTGTGATATCGCCTGCCCGGGGCTACCCCCTTAATCTCTCTGGGAGTCTGGGATTTCCTGTCTCCATTTTCAGCTTCTGAGGGTTTTTGAAAAGATAGACCCCTGAAGGGGATTTCAGGGGCAAGCAGGCTTGCTGTCCCCTGTGCCCAGCGCTTGGCCCCCACGCGCCATAATGAGCAGTCTCTGTGAGGGGCTGTCCTCCATCTCTCCAGCTGACAGTGGGGCTTCTGCATGTGAAAGGCAGGGTATCTGCTCCATTCTCCTACCCCAAGATGGCCCCAGGTGTGCAGGCCCTACATGCTCACCCCTCCCAGGGAACTTTCCTGGAATTTTGAATAAGTTGTACCAGAAACCTAGTGTCTGTCCTAGTTAGTGGAGTTACAGTCTGTTTGTCAGCAGAAGTTGGAGAGACTGGTCTTGGCGTACCACTGGACAAGGAGGAGGGGATGGGAAGGCAATGTCTAAAGGCCACGAAGTCTGGGAGGAGCATATACAAGTCTTGTAGAGCATAGCTATGGGCCTGTCTGGCCTGAATGAACAGGTGCACAGGGGTGTGTAAATATGTATGGGGTACTACGTGTATCTTCAGCCTTTACATTAGTATATACACAAGGGTGTGTGAGTATGCATGGGGGGGCTCATGTGTGTATATATGTGTGTTTGCACTCATGTATGTGTATCTAGCCTGTACACTGGCATTTGCACAGGAAGTGTGTGAATATGCATGGGGGGGCTCATGCATGTGTGTTTGTGTGTCTGTGTGTGTCCAGCCGGTACATTAATTAGTATTATGGAGGTGTGTGAATACGCATGGGATGTGTGTGTGTGTGTGTGTGTGTGTGTGTGTGTGTGTGTATGTTCAGCTCCTAAGAAACATGGTATGGTAGCTAGCCTTAGTATGAGGAGAAGCTAGTCAGGATGGTGACTGTGCTATTGCTTCTATAGGCTGGATTGCCCTGGGGAGCCAGATGTGCGGGACGGCTTCAGTGCCACCTTTGAGAAGATTCTGGAGTCAGAGCTGTTGCGGGGCACCCAGTATAGCAGCCTGGACTCATTAGATGTGCTGAGTCTCACTGACGAGAGTGACAGCTGTGTGAGCTTTGAAGCCCCTCTTACGCCTCTCATCCAGCAGCGGGCTCGTGACAGCCCTGAGCCTGGGGCTGGACTGGGCATTGTGGACATGGGGCCTGAGGGGGACCAAGGGGCAGCTGGTGGTGGTGATGGGGAGCTGGGCAGCCCCCTGCGGCGGTCCATTTCTAGCAGCCGCTCAGAGAATGTCCTGAGCCACTTGTCTGTCACATCGGTGCCCAATGGGTTCCATGAAGATGGACCTGGGGGCTCAGGAGGGGACGATGAGGACGATGAAGACACGGACAAGTTGCTGAACTCTGCCAGGTGAGGAGGGGGCCAGGTTGGGAGCTGGGAAGCCACTGAGCAGATAGGGGAAGTGAGACCCAGAGGAGGCAAAGCATTCTGGGGTGACAGTGTCCACAATCCACAAGCCCTCATAAGGTCACCGGGTCTGTCCTCTGCATGCAGATAGCCGGTCCAGTCCTGAGGGTGTGCTCTGCTCTTCCATTCTAATAGCACAGAGCTATTGGGGGCACATATTGCTATGTTGGGGGCACATCCACTTCAAGTGATTTCACTTGAGTGAGCCACCGGAAGTCTGGCTCCATACTTTCCCGATGCAGTGGAACCTCTTTCCCTCCTCTGCCCCGCCCCACCCCCAGTGGATTTTCAGAGACCTGGGATCCCTCCTAGTTACATACAAGACTTCTGATCTCCTCCTTTCCTCTTGCAGTGACACCAGCCTCAAGGATGGTCTGTCGGACTCGGACTCAGAGCTGAGCAGCTCCGAGGGGCTGGAGCCTGGTGGGGCAGATCCACTGGCCAATGGGTGCCAGGGTGTCAGCGAAGCTGCTCACCGCCTGGCCCGTCGCCTCTACCACCTTGAGGGCTTCCAGCGCTGCGATGTGGCTCGGCAGCTGGGCAAGAAGTGAGTGCATCTCCCCAGCTTCTGTCCCAGGCAGAGCAAACCCTTTGTCTTCCTCAGTCAGAAAAGGGTGAAAAAGGGTGTCGGTGACTTCTTTTGGGGGTGACTGGTGCCATGAGCTCTCACCAGGCCTTTAAGGATACCTCCTTCTGGCACTGTCCTCATTCTTGACCTCGCCCTAAATTTGTTTCCTTTCTGGGCTGCTTGGGAGAAGGTGGCTGCTGTCAGGGAGGGGGAGGTGACAGGTGGCCCCTCAGGGCTGGGGCAGGGTGGGGGATGTGGCTGTGGTGTCATGAAGGGCAGTAGAGAGGACAGGATAACCCGACAGTACTGGAGCCTGCCCCCGTGCGTGGGGCCAGGTGGAGCGGAGAACCTGAGGGAGCTGGGGTAAATATCAGGGAACTGGAGGTAAAAACCAGTGTCCGCCTTCATTGAGCCAACCGTCTATTGGGACCGCCTGTAGGGACTGGACAAAGTCACAGGGCACAACCTTCAGACTGGGTGCAAAGGACACTAGGGAGGTAGACGTTCTGAGGATTGTGGACCTGGTGTGTGTGTGTGTGTGTGTGTGTGTGTGTGTGTGTGTGTGTTGACATATTCTGAGTATGTTTGAACATAGTGTGGCCCTTGTCTTGTTCCTTCTATCCACAGAGACTCCATCACCCCAGGAAGGCTTGGAGGTGGGAGAAGCTGGCCTGTGCCACTCACAAAGCTAAGGCAGATCATCAGAACTTGTTCAGGCTTAGCTGAGGGATTTAAGTCTCAGAAGGCTTTTTTGCATCCTCTGAAGCTTCCTTGCACCTTGGGCACTGGGTCCCGGGGAGCCCTTCCTAAAATCACAACTCACACACTCTTCTCTCGAGAACTGATTCTTGCCATGTTTCCATGGCGCCCTCTGCAGGCTCCTCCAGCAATTTCTGCAGCTCGCCCCACCCATCCAAAAAGAGCCTGGGGGGGGGGGGAGTACAATGATGACATGACTTTCCAACTTCTCATCTCTAACTCTCAGGTTTTTTGCCCTAGGTATCTTCTGTCCCCTGCCTTTCTTTTCTTAGCCCCATCCAGATGAGCTCTTGCCACGCTGTGCCCTTTTAGGAACTTCCCTTTCTAAGCACCAAGGGCTTAGGGTATTGGGAGCAGGTGGCTGCTATCCGTGCCACCTTCAGCAGCATCTACCCAACTGGCCCACTTGTTTCTGTTTCAAGTTTTTCTTTATGAACATTTCGAGTATACACAAAACAGGTAAACAATACATCAAACTTTTCATATACCCATTATGCAACTTCGAAGTGTTCTGAGGTCTCACTATGTACCCCAGGCTAGTCACCAAGTCCCTCTGCCTCAACCTCGATAATGTTGGGATTATAAGTGTGTATCATCACACCTAGTGCTCAGCTTTGATGTTCTTCTGTTATTCTTTCCTCTGTCATCCCACAACCCCCCCTCCCAATTTGTTGGAAACATTCATATACTCTATCATTTGGCTCACAAGTGCTTAGGCAATATGAAAAATTTTAATATTCCCTTTTAACAGTTAACAAAGTTAACAAAAATTCCTCATCTCCAACTTTTGATGTATTTCATTTTCTCTGATTCTCTCAAAAACATTGATCTGGTCAGGCCTGGTGGTGCAGGTCTGTTAGCAACTACCGGGAGCCTGAGGCAGGAGGGTTGCAAGCTTAAGGCCTGCCCGGGCTACAGAGTGACTCTATCAGAAATATATAAGACAAAAATAGGGCCTGGCTGTAGCTTAGCACAGAGTATGTGCCTTATATGCATGAGGACCTGAGTTCAATCCTCCATACCACCACCAGAAAAAGATAAATAAAAATGGTGTGTTCAAGTAGGGCTGGAATATGAGTCACATGTTGCACCTGGTCCTCTTTTTTTTTTTACAAGTGGCATTTAATATACAAGCAGCCACCTCTCTCTTTCATCCCCCCATGGTGCATGCATGTACATGTATGTATGCATGAAGCTGCATGTGGAGGCCAGGGGGTGACCTTCAGGGTTTTGAGAAAGGGTCTCTCACTGAATCTGGACCTCACTGACTGGTGGGTCAGCCAGAGTCTGCAGAGATCCTCTTGGATCTTCTTGACCCCACGTCCTCAGTGACAAGATTACGTGTCCATGCCACCACGCTGGCTTTTTTAACTGCGTGCTAGGAATCCAAACTCAGGACCCCAGGCTATAGACCGAGTTTCTCTGTGTCCTGGCAGCCTCTCCCAAATAACCAGACAGAGACTTATTATTAATTACAAATGCTTGGCAGATAGCTTAGTCTTGTCTCCAGCCAGCTCTTATAACTTAAATTAACCCATTTCTATTAATCTATGTGCTGCCCAGAGGCCTATTTACCTCATCTATGAACTTCCCATGTTGCTTCTTCCGAGTCATATTGCTTCACGACTCCTCAGACTCTGCACTTCTTCCCATCATTCTCTCTGCTCCCAAAATCCTGCCTACCGGCCAATCAGCTTTTTATTAACAATGACAGCAACACATACTTGTACAAAGATTGTTCTACACCAGGCTTGCAAGGCAAGCATTTTAGCATTGAGGCCATCTTCTCATACCCATCTCTTTTAAAGTGCCATGTACTGAAGGAAAAGAGCTATTCATCCCAAAGGATTCCCCACAGTTTGGATTTGGATAGAGTGTTGTTTCTTTTTCTTTTTTTCTTTTTTTTTTTTAATTCTTAAATTTGCACATCTCATCCAGCTTTCACTTTTTTTTTAAAGATTTCTTTCTTTCTTTCTTTCTTTTTTTTTTAAGGATTTATTTATTATGGATACAGTGTTCTGCAGGCCAGAGGAGGGCACCAGACCCCATTACAGATGGTTGTGAACCACCATGTGGTTGCTAGGAATTGAACTCAGGACCTCGGAAGAGCAGTCAGTGCTCTAAACCTGTGAGCCATGTCTCCAGCCCAGTATAGTGTTATTTCACACATTCCTTAGTTCCTGTGATCCTGTCATGGGAAGGAACGCTTGAGGCTCAGGTGGAAATCTCTTCAAATTCTTCCACCTTGGCCTCCAGCAGGGCACAGCCTCTGCTATCCTCAGACCCCTTCACTAGCCCTTTCCTTGGTCTAGACCTTAACGGGCTGCTTTCAGGGCTCTGCCCTGGGCTTGCACATTAAAAGAAACTATTTTTATTTATGTGTATGGGTGTGTGTGTTGTGTGGTTGTACGCTACATGTGTGCAGATGACTGAGGAAGCTGGAAGAGGGCGATAGAACCACCGTGCCAGGATTGCGGGCATCCGTGCCAGGATTGTGAGACATGGTGTGCTGGGAACCAGACTGGGTCCTCTGGAAGAGCAGTGAATGCTGTTAACCCCTGAGCTATCAGTTCAACCCAGTCTGGCCTCAAGCTCAAGATGACCTTGAACTCCTGACCTTCTACCATGCTGGGGTTTGAACCCAGGGCTTTGTGCGTGGTAGACAGACACTGAGTGACACCCTCAGCCCATCTGTACCTTTAAATGTTGAACTTATATTGAGACAGTTTCATTATGAAGGCGGGTTGGTTGGGTCCGATCCTTCCACCTCAAGCATGTTATATAGTGGTTAGGGTGGGAAGCTAGGAAAGGTGGGAATTCAGAGGGGGTGAGGTCGTTGCCTGGTAACCGGACTGCCTGTTCTTAATCAGAGGTCACTGCAGGTGAGCAGGGTGTGCTAAGAGGAAATGCAGGTAGAGACAATCAGGTTGTTAGCAGGGGAAGAGGTCTTAGGAGTTGCTAAATACCCTAACTGCATAAGGAGGGGTTACCAAGTAACCTAACTGCTTTCCTGTAAGCCCTAAATTCTACTTCTCAGGAAGTGGGGAGTGGGAGAAGGTTGATTGGGACTGAAGGTAGCAATCTTTTAACTCAATGGCTATTCTAAGAGAAGGCTGGCAATCTAAGGCTTATGCCACGATCGCTCATTTGATAGCTCCCAGCAGTTCTCACAAGGGCTCAGGCCTCACAACACCAGGCTGTCTCTTACAAGATTACTCTCACAGGGGTTCCGCCAGTCCTGTCTTTGCCCTGAGCTCTGACATACACACCTTCTCAGTCATTTTTTTTTCTTTCCTGGTGACCTCAGCAGCCTAAATTTCTAAATTTTCTCATCTTGTCCACTTTTTTTCCCCCACCCGGGCTCCATTCTGTGTGGCCTCCACTCCACAGGTACAGTGTTAGCTTTAAAGTCTGTAGCCAACTGGGTGGTGGTGGCACACACCTTTAATCCCAGCACTTGGGAGGCAGAGGCAGGAAGATCTCTGTGAGTTCTAGACCAGCCTGGTCTATCAAGTGATTTCCAGGACAGGCTCCAAAGCTACACAGAGAAACCCTGTCTCGAACCTTGCCCCCCTGCAAAACAACAACAACAACAACAAAGTCTGTAGCCACAGCCAGGTCCTTCCTGTGATCTGAGGTCTTGCCCAGTCTCACCTCTTACTGCTCCCCCTAGTGGCTTGGTGTGATGTCATATCATCTCCTTTGCTGGGTTCACTGGGCATCACCTCACCCCAGTCCCTTCGCTGAGCAGGCTCTTATCTGAGCTGGCTGAGACATCACCTCTTGAGCCCCCAGACCAGGTTGGATGACCTGAGCTGAGTGACCAGAGGGGAGGCAACTCAGGGTCTGGGCAGATCTGGGAGGTGGTTAAGGGTACTCTGGGGCCCACTTCCCCGATACCTGCCATCCTGGGATGTGGGGCCTGCTTCTAATTGACATCCTATGATGCTTTCTTGGCAGCAATGAGTTCAGCAGGCTGGTCGCTGGGGAGTACCTCAGTTTCTTCGACTTCTCAGGCCTCACGTTGGACAGAGCACTCAGGTCAGTGGGGCTGGAGTGGGACAGTGCCACATTTGGATTGTCATTCCAGGTCTTTCATAACTTGTTGCACGACATTTGCCCCTCTGGTAAACCTGTGGGGAAAGGATGCTATGGGTACCAGTTGTCCCACAACAGCTAATGTGATGGGTGCCCAGGGTATGAAGCTCGTAGGGCTTGCCGATATGGAGCACTTCCTGCCTGCCAGATAGGTCTTTATATACCCGGCCTACTTTGATGGTAATGGGGACTTGATTGTAGCTGTTTCAGTGTTTGGGCCTCAGGAGGGTCAGTTGTGGGCCTAGGTAGGAGGAGGGTGGGATGGCTGGATGTAGCCCAGTGTCATCAGAAAGATGCTAGGCCAGGCTGAGGAGGGAGGGGCAATCTCTCTGAGCTAAGGGTTGTGTTCACAGATGTTTCATACTTTTAAAAAAACTTTATGATGTTTTGAAAGATTTATGTATTTATTTATGCACTGTTCTGCCTGCATTCCAGAAGAGGGCACCAGATCTTCTTACAGATGACTGTGAGCTACCATGTGGTTGCTGGGAATTGAACTCAGGACCTCAGCCAGTGCTCCTAACCTCTGAGCCGTCCCTTCACAGCCCTCATCTCTTATACTTTTAAAAAATCAGTTTTTATTCTTTTCCCCTCTGTTTTGGTTGGGATATTTTCTGTTGGCTTCCAGTATACTTGCCATTTTGCTACCATTGAAGCCAATGAAAACTTACTGAGGGCCTGGCTCTGCATGAGTAGGAAGGGTGAGGACCACAGTTCAGACTCTGGCATCTGTGTCAGTGCTAAGTGGGCATGGTGTCTGCCTAAAATCCCAGTGTGCAGGAGGCAGAGCAAACTGGCTATCTACCATGTCCAGATCAGCACACTCTCTTGGTTCAAATGAGAGACCTCAATATATAAGGTAGAGAGCAACTAAGGAAGACACTTGATGTCAACCTCTAGCCTCTGTGTGCATACGCGTGCACACACGCACAAATTCAAGCATTCATACCCTCAGGCATGCATATCACACGTTCATTATACCCAAAAAGAACCTCATTAAGCTTTTAATTCTCAGTTACATTTTACATTCTAGAATTTCCATCAAACTTAAGCTTGAAAATAGATTCTAATTTTCTGTGGGACTCCTCATCTTTTCACTAACTCATCTGGATCATATATATGTTTGGTTTTTTAGTGTGTTTGTGGTGTGTGTGTGTGTGTGTGTGTGTGTGTGTGTGCATGTGTGTGCGTGTGTGGGAACGTGTGTAGAAGCTGAGGTTGATGTTGGAGTCTTCCTCAATTGCTGTCCATTCTATTATCTGAGGCAGAGTCACTCATATGAATTCAGGGCTCACAGACATGACTAGCCTAGCAAGCTGGCTTGCTCTAGGAGCAGCCTCTCTCTGCCTTCTGATTGCTGGAATTACAGGCGGGTTCCTGTGTTCACCTGACATTACAGGTTCTGGAGATTTGAACTCCACACCTCATGTTTGCATGGCAACTGCTTTGTTCCCTGAGCTGCCATCTCTCTAGCCCCCACTTTGTGTCTATTTCTGATTTCTGGTTTTTTTTTTTCCCCTCTTGGTTTTCCAGCACCTATTCTGTTTCTTAGTTTGCCCAACCCTTCCTTTACAAGGCAATTGTAAAGGGACGTGGGACACAGCCCTAATCCAGCCAGAGCTGAGGAGTGGCAGCTCTAAGGCTTGACATTGTTCAGGGCTGGTTCTGAGCTTCAGCCTTGCATGGAGAACTGCTGTGTCATTGGGACTGTCCCCCTCGGTGGTGATGAATCCTCCTTTTACTACCTCCTTGCAGCAAAACGGACCCCTCAAAAAAAAATCCCTCTACTTCTGGGAGGCTTTCTGCCTAGCTTCTCGGCTCCATAACTGCCACGCCTTCAGAGTCTGGCAACTGTGTGTCCACGTGCTAACAACCCTTCTAGACTCCAAATTTGTTTTTCCATCCCCAAGAAAGGACCCGATATACTGCCTTTTGCCCATGGGCTTTGTTGGCAATACACCCAGGGAAAAGGTGGCTGTTACATGTCAGCCTGCTCTGTCCAGTCCTCTCCATCTTGAGATCATGGGCCTGTGTCTCACCTGTAGCTTTCGGAACTGCACCTGCTGCCATGTTGGGGATGTGAAGTGCTCTGCTCCGAGCAGCTCTGTCTTGAGCTGAGCCTTTGGACTGCACCAAAATGAGAGCGATCAGAAAGGCAGTGTTAAGTGGGATTGGCTCAGCATCAGAGGCATGGGTGCTGGGCTGAGGGCCCATGGGGAAAGGTTTTAAGTGGCTTCGGGTACAGACATAATTGTAGGGTGCTAGTTGAGAGTCCTGAGCACATGGTGAGGGTAGACTAGGAAGGAAGAGAAGGAGATAAAGACGAAAGGAAGGCCAGGCGTGGCAGCACAGGCCTTTAATCCCAGCACTTGGGAGGCAGAGACAGGTGGACCTCTGAGTTCGAGTTCAGCCTGGTGTATGGAGAGAGTTCCAGGACAGTTAGAGATATGTAGAGAGACACTGTTTCAAAACAAACAAACAACCGTCCACCCCAGAAAAATGGAGAACAAATCACAGAGACTTGGTGCAGCGTGGCTCAGATTTGGGGTGGGGGAATGAGAATGGAGGGTGGGTTTAGGGCTTAACTGATGGAGAGGAGGGATTAGGAAAGACAGAGCAGGCTGATGTGTGGGGCTGGCAGCCTAGGACAGGCTGATACTGGCAGATATTGGCCCTGAAGTGCTCATTTGCCTTGTTCAGAGCCATCCCCCTGCCTGCTTCCAGAAGGGTGCTGCAGGGATGAGAGAGAGAGAAGAGAGAGGGAGAGAAGGAATTCTGAGGTCTTAGAATCCAGAGGCCATCTTGGAGGGTTGTGTGGGGGTCTGCCTGGGGGTCTGCCTGGGGTGTGTGTGTGTGGGGGGGTCTGTCTGGGGGTCTGTCTGGGGTGTGTGTGTGTGGGTATCTGGGGTGTGTGTGTGTGGGGGGTCTGCCTGGGGGTCTGTCTGGGGTGTGTGTGTGTGGGGGTCTGTCTGGGGGTCTGTCTGGGGTGTGTGTGTGTGGGGTCTGCCTGGGGTGTGTGTGTGGTGTCTGGGGTGTGTGTGTGTGTCTGGGGTGTGTGTGTGTGTGGGTCTGTCTGGGGTGTGTGTGTGTGTGTGGGGTCTGCCTGGGGGGTCTGTCTGGGGTGTGTGTATGGGGTGTGTGTGTGTGTGTGTCTGGGGTGTGTGTGTGTGTGTCTGGGGTGTGTGTGTGTGGGGTCTGCCTGGGGTGTGTGTGTGTGTCTGGGGTGTGTGTGTGTCTGGGGTGTGTGTGTGTGTGGGTCTGTCTGGGGTGTGTGTGTGTGGGGTCTGCCTGGGGCGGGGTCTGTCTGGGGTGTGTGTATGGGGTGTGTGTGTGTGTGTGTCTGGGGTGTGTGTGTGTGTGTCTGGGGTCTGTCTGGGGTGTGTGTGTGGGGTCTGTGTGTGTGTGTGTGTCTGGGGTGTGTGTGTGTGTGTGTCTGGGGTGTGTGTGTGGGGGTCTGTCTGGGGTGTGTGTGTGGGTCTCTCTGGGTGTCTGTCTGGGGTGTGTGTGTGTGTGGGTCTGTCTGGGGTCTGTCTGGGGTGTGTGTGTGTGTGTGTCTGGGTGTCTGTCTGGGGTGTGTGTGTGGGGTGTGTGTGTGGGGGGGGTCTGCCTGCTGTGTGTCTGGGGTCTGTCTGGTGTGTATGTGGGGTATCCAGAGCCAGGAGCTGGGGTACAGGAGCACTGGTGTCATGTGTGTGTCTGTCTGTGGGGAGTAAGTTTCTACTTCTGTGAAGAGACTGAACCAGGGGCTCTGAGATTTGCTCAGCAACCTTGAATTACATTCTAGAACCTTCCTGAAGGCCTTCCCACTGATGGGGGAGACGCAGGAGCGAGAGCGAGTCCTTACCCACTTCTCCCGCCGGTACTGCCAGTGTAACCCAGATGACAGCACATCAGAAGGTCAGCACGCCCTCCCTGTCCCACCTCCCATATTCCTGGCTGAGCCCTGGTCTACTCCCACCCTGGCCCACCTGCCGCCTCTGTCTTGCAGGCCCAGGTGGGCCATTCGCTCTGGCAGTTAAGATTGGATGAATACATTTGGATGTGACCCATACCTGAAGTCCCAGGAATTTGCAGGATGAGTCAGGACTATTTTGAGTTTGAGGTCAGCCTGGGATAAGTAGTGAGACCCTGCCTCAAAAACCAAAACAATAAAAATGTCCAGTGAATATCGGATGGCCTAGCACTGGACAGGAGAGGACAAGTTTCTTGCTCGTGGCCATTCTGTTCCCAGTGCCTGTAAGTCCTTCCTACACTCAGTCCTTTTAGCATAGTCCATGTTCCATGTCTCCCGTCACAATACTGACTCTCGGCAGGGGAGGGGGCATTCTATGCAGGACTTGCCATATGGATGAACTGAGTGACTAAGTCTCTTATTGCTATTGAGAGACATGGCTTGGGGACTCAGAGCCTTTCTTAGGTCTAAGGTTCAAGGTGATTTGTCTGCAACGGGCAGACATCTGGGCTAGAGACTGCCCGGAGTGGTTAGAGGCCCTGGGGGATTGAGCATTACCCAGGCATTGGCCTGGGGGCAGATGTCTGGTTTCCTTGGTTTGTGTGGCCTCTAGGCTGGCAGGTGGGAGACCCTGGGTGGGAATGAGTTCTCACAGTGAGAATCCACTGTGTTCTGTTTAGATGGGATCCACACACTCACCTGTGCCCTGATGCTGCTCAATACAGACCTGCATGGACATGTGAGTATGGGGTCTGTCAGGGGACATGTGCTCTCACTGGCTCCCTGTCATTGAGGGCCAACCCTGTAGCCATCCCTCTTCCTGAAACTCTTGGACGGGAGGAGTGTTTTCTCTTAACAGACCAGGGAGGTGGCTGTCTTGCTTCTAGATTTGACCCTGTCCTGGTTTTAACCACTGGTTCTGGTTCCTAAGAACAGCGTGAGAGCAGTTGATGCACATGGGAAGTTTTCTGTTTGATGTTAGAGACAGGGTCTCTCTGTGTAACCCTGGCTGTCCTGGAACTCTCTCTGTAGACCAGGCTGGTTTCAAACGCAGAGATCTGCCTGCCTCTGCCTCTGAGTGCTGGGATTAAAGGCGTGCACCACCACTGCACCCAGCTAAGGCACATGGGAATTTCAGACATGGCAAGTAGATATGCCATCAGGACACATCTGTGGTGGAGTCCGTGCCTTGCTCTGCCAAAAGGCTGCCTGCTCTTCCATTTCTCCTCTAAAAGCCCAGATGTGGCCTTCCTGAGATGTCATGCCCCAGACAGCTAGCTGGTCTTTGCCCACCAACTGTCAGGTTACTCTTACGGGGTTTCCTCCTCACCCCTTCACTCTCGTCAGGCCGGTGAGTGGAAGAATAGGCATGGGGTGCCCTGGCCCCAGGCTCCCCACGCCCACTAATTCCTTCTTCCTTCCTCTGCTGGCTACTGCTCTGGGCGCCCCGGCCTTCCTTCCTCAGGTGGTAAGTGCTGCTGTTAGAGTGTGCATGCTGTGTGCTTAGTCCTGCCTGCATTCACCCTCTGCGTCCTGTGTCCTATCATACCATCCGCCCCACACAACCGCTATCCGGCCATCACTCAGTCAGGGCTGGTCAGAAACCCTCCTGGGAGTTGGGTAGATTTAATAACTCAGTGACAGCAAGGTCTAGAATAAACCAGAAAAGCCCAGGAGATATGGACTGTAAGAAAAAAAATTAGGATAGAGAAGCTTCACAACCCATTCTTGCCTTCATTGGGTAGCTATGTGAGCCTGGGCAAGTCACTTCCCTCTCTGAGTCTCAGGTTCTGCATCTTCTCAGGGCAGTGATGATTTCCTCCAGTGTCTTGGGGAGGACAAGAGTGGCAGCAATTTATGTCAAGTGTCAGGGCCTGACCCTGGCAAGGATTTTGCTGCGAATAATAGAATGACATGCCCAGTGGTATCCATCCCTACTCTTACAACTTGAGTGATGGACAACCTGTCGGCACAATCTTGAGGCTGGTGGCAGCTTGAGTGACTGAGGGAGAGGAGGAGTAGCAGGCTTGTGGGCTCATGAATGAATATGATGTGTATTCCTTGCAAGCAGAAGTGGGTGGCCACCCTGCCCAAGCCAGCCCTTCCCCGAGATTGTGTCCTCTGTCCACAGGTGTCAATAGCCACTTGAAAAGGAGTGCTAAACACACCCCTCCACACTCTCAGTGGAGAGACGAGAGCATCGTGGGCCTTGGGTCTGGGCCCTCAGCTGAGGAGGGAGTGGTGGTTGGGTGGGGTCTTCACACTGCTGCAGACACTGAGCAGGAGCTCCCTTGAAACATCATTGCTCAGCAAGCAGAGGGGAGGGCCCTGGGTTAGGCTTCTCTATGTTTGCCCACAGCACAGCTGTATGTCCTGGAACAAACTTAACCGACCAAGCCTTTATTTATTTCTCCATCTTGTAACCCCTGCCTGTGAGTTTCTTTCTTTTTTAAAATTTATTATTTTATTTTATGTGCTTTGGTGTTTTGCCTGCGTGTATGTGTGAGGGTGTCAGACTTCAGTAGAGAAGCTGCTGGTGGGTGGAAGGACCCGGGGAAGATGTGGGATTTGATGCCTGTCTTTAAGGATTCCTTCCAGGGGAGCCGTAAAAACAGTCTAGGATCGTTCTAACCTGAGTGCCATGCCAGACTTTCAGGAAAAGGCTGGTTGCCCTGGGTCAAAAGTGATCACCAAGTGTCACTGTCTGAATAAACACCCAGGCAGCACCTAATCCTAGCCAGTCTCTACTCTGGGCAAAGATGTGGGTAGGGAGGTGGTCACCCTGACACGAGAGAGCCAGGGTTATAGTCATGAGATGTGACAAGCTGTGGCTTGTTCCTGCTAGAGGACAGAGGCTGTGGGAAAGAGACCCCAGGGCCCAGGGTTCAAGGAGGGCCCGTTGATGACAACATTCAGGGTCCCCGACCACACTCCTCTTGGCTGTGCTGTTGTCTGGGTCCCCTGTCCCTGGACATGTCTTTTTATCCAGTGGCTGTCTGTCAATGTGGCTTTCAAGCGAATAACTTTGGTATGTCTTCTCTTTTTCCCCTTACCTTGGCCAGTCTTGCTTTTTGGCCTAGAGAGAGACGGACTTTAGGCAAGGGTTTGACTTGGAGTGTGTTCTCTAGAGTGACTAGGATGTCCTCATATATCAGTAAGGCCAAAAAGGCATTCCGTGTTGTGGAAAACTTGTGTACACTCGCTGATTAATTTCACTGTGGTAAGACACAGTAGCAAACGCTGACTATTTTAACCACTTAGAAACACAGGGTGCAGTGGCATTGAGCGCAATCCCAGTGATGTGTGTACTGGCACCCATTCCAGAATTTCCCCTCACTCTCAAAACCATCCTCAGAGCCAGCAGCAGCCACACCTCCTCACCTCTCCCAGTCCCTGGATTGGGATCTGCTTCCCCATACGATCTGTCTGCTGTCTGTTGTAGCTACTTCATGTGAGTGGAATCGTACAACCCCGGCCTTCTGTGTCTGGCTTATGTCACAACATACTGTTTCGAGGATCCTTCATGTTGTAGCATGGGTCAGTACTTTATTCTTGCTTAGGGATAAGTAGTGTATCATTGCACGGATATGGCACGTAGGACATACATGGACATTGCATGTGGAGTTATGAAAATATGTGTGCAAGTTTTAGTTTGTACAACTGTTCCCAATTTTTGTTTTTGTTGTTGAGACCGGGTTTCATTATGTTGACCTGGCTGGCCTGCAACTTGCTGTGTAGACCAGGCCGAACTCAAACTTATAGAGATCTAAGCTGCCTGCCTCTGCCTTTTAAGTGCTGGATTAGGGGCACGTGCTACCACACCTCACACCTCCCTCAATTCTTTTTAAAAAAATATTTAGAAAATCTCTCTCTCTCTCTCTCTCTCTCTCTCTCTCTCTCTCTTCGTGTGTGTGTGTGTGTGTGTGTGTGTGTGTGTGTGTGTTGTGCACATGTTGGGGTTAGAGGTCAGCTTTCAGGAATTGGTCCTTCTCTTCCTCTATGTGGGTTTCCCAGGGATTGAACTTAGATCCACAGGTTTGGCAGCAAGTGCCATTACCTGCTGAGTCATCAAGCTGGTCCTTAGCTTCTCACGTCTTTTAGGCATATGCTCAAGGTAGGCTTGCTGAATTACATATTTTTATTTAAAGGTCTGGCACATTGGCTAAATATTTCCTATCCTTCTAGCAATACACAAGGGTTCCAGTTGTCAATGGCATTAACCTTTCTATTTTGAAAATATTATTGACATCTCTAGTTTTTCAGTTTGACTCTGGTGCTGTGGACTGAGCTCAGGCTCTTGCGTGTGCCCAGTGAGTGCTATACCTCTGAGCTACAGTGCCAGCCTTGCTGTGGTTTTGATCCACTGGTCTCCATGGCTATGGTAGAGTTGCTACCCACACGCCTGATGACCATTTGTGTGTGTTCTTTGGAATGCCTGTTCAGATTCTTGCCCACTTAATTTTCTTTATTCTCCTACTCTGTTGCGTTGGCTGGGTACAAGCTCACAGCTTTCTTGACTACAACTTTTAAAGTGCCAGGTTATGGGCATGCCCCACCAGGCCTGGTTCCTTTGTCCAGTTTATAACTGTTTTTGTTGTTGCATTCTGCTGGCTTCCTGTATTCAGAACACTAGACCCTTATCAAGCATATGACCTGAAGATGTTTTCTCCTCATTCTCTCTCTCTCTCCCTTTCTCTCTCCCTCTCACCCTCTCCCTCTTTCTGTCTCTGTTTCTTAAGGCAGGGTTTCTCTGTGTAGCTCTGTAGACCAGGCTGGCCTGGAACTCACAGAGATCCACCCACCTCTGCCTCTGCGTGTGCCGCCACCACCACCTGGCCTCTTTCTCTCTCTCTTGATAGAGTCTTGTGATGTAGAACAGTTTTTAAAATCTGAATAACATCCCAATTTATCTTATTTTTCTCTCTCTCTCTATGTATGTGTGCATGTATATGTGTGGGTGAACCTGTGTGCACATATGTGTGCAGGAGGCCAGAGGTCTATGTGGGGTATGATTCCTCTGGAGCCAGCCATTTTTTTTTTTTTAAAGACAAGGTCTCACAGGGATGTGGGACGTTAGGATGTCTGGCCAGCAAGCCCAAGGAATTCTCTGGTCCCTTTTCCTCCAGCCCTGGATTACTGGCATGCACTGCCAGGCCAGACTTTTTACCCAGGGGCTGGGGATTGAACCTAGTCTTCATGCTTGCGCAGCAGGTGCATTACTGACTGTGCTCTTCCTCCAGCCCTACAGCAGCCTTTTTTTGTTTGTGCGTGGGGCATCATGAATCAGAATCTATTTCCAGGGTTGTGGTGGCACACACCTTTAATCTCGGGGGCAGAGGAAGGTGTGCCTCTGTGATTTAAGTCAGCATGTTGAGTTCTAGGTCAGCTAGGGCTAAAGTGAGACCCTGGGCCAAACAAACAGGCAAACAAACAAGCATTAAAAAAGGAAACCATTGCCAGCTCCAAGGCCATGGAGTTTTGCTCTGTTTTCTTTTGGGAGTTTTAGCTCATCTATCTAGTTTTGAATTTTTCTTTTTTGTTTTCTTCAGCACGGAGGATGGAACTTAGGGCTTCAAGTGTGCTAGGCTAGCACTCTCCCACTGAGCCCTGGCCCTATGCTTAGTTTTAAATTCTAGTCTGAGTAATGAAATACAGATACAGATGCGGAAGTAGGAGATACAATTCCATTCATTTGCATTTGTACGTCTGGCCCCAGCATCATTTATGCAGAAGATTATT